CACACGCGCGCACACACACACACACATAATATACATAACACATGCACACACACCCCTAATACACATACCACACACATGCACACACAATACACATTCCACATGCACATACCACCCACACATAATATACATACTACACATAGCACATGCACACACATAATACACATACCACATGCACACAGATGCATAATATACATGCCACACACATAGCACACACACACACACAATACACATGCCACACACATAATACACAAACCACATGCGCACACATAATATACACATCACACACATAATACACATACCACACTAACATACCATACGCACACACTTACACATACACACACCACAAGACACATACAACATGCACACATACACATACCACACACATACAAAACTATACAAAACACATGACGTGTGCACACATGCAAAGTCATATAATATACATACCACATGCGCACACATACAAACATGCATACACACCCCACCCACATGCTGCCTCACTTGGCCACACCTCTAAACTAAATTGGTTAAAACTCTGAGTTATAAAAACTAACAGTATGTCCTAAAAAATAAAACAAACTCCCCGTCCTTGCAGCCTGAGCTGCTTTTAGGGGCCCATCAGAATCCTTGGACTTAGACCATTAACTGTTTGCACTTCAAGGGCTGTTGCTCAAAACGGAATTCCCTTACATAGGTTAAACACTCCTCTCATACCCTGGTCTGGGGCCCACATCTGCCCTGGCGGGTGTCACGGTCACGTGACCGCCCATTCCAAAGACTCTGCTTCCCCAGTCCGTGTGAGTGTGGGTGACTGTGGGCCTGGACACTCGAGGGACCACGGCAAGCAATGAATTTGGTGCCCTCGTAATGGATGAGGAAACTGAGGCCCGGGCAGGGGAGGGAATGTTGCCACACTGGGTACGGAAAGGGCCGAGCTGGGGCTTGGACCCAGGCCCTCACATGGAAGCTGATTCTGCTGCTTCTTCTACTGCCCCAGGGGTCCGATGAGCATGCCTACATATCCAGCCCTGACCTCTCTCCTGAACGCTGCCTAGTGTCTCATCCTTGGATAGCTCGACCTGGGGCTCCCAAACTCATCGTGTCTACAACAGAAGCCATGCTCTTTTCCTCAAAACTCTCCCATTTTTCCTTCCTCCCAGGGTTCCGGGATCACAGCTGGACGGCACCTTTGGCCCTGCCCCTGCACTCACCCCACGCATTCAATTACGCCTTGTTTCTCCTTTTGTGACACTTTTTGAGGACATCTCTTGCTCCACTCACAGCCCCCGCCCCCAGCTGGGGCAGACCCTCACCACCTCCCCTGGCCTACTGCTATAACCTTGGGGATGGAGTGGGGGCTGCCTGCCTCAAGACCTTCCCTACTCAAGGCCATCTGTGACCTTCCTGAAGCACAGGCCCCCCCAAAAGAAGTCCAGTGGGCTCCCCCATACTCTCAAACCATCAGGCCCAGCCTCTTCCTCTCTTTCCAGTCTTCTACACAGCGATGCTGCTGCCCATCTCCTGGCTCTTTTCACTGGCTGCTCCCCATGACTGGAATGCTCTCCCTCCTGTCTCTGTCCCCCTTCACTTCCCTCACGTTCCAGTCAAAATCTCCCCTTCTGCCAGCAGCCTTTGCTGGTCCCCATCTGTGGTTTGCATGTTCTCTCCCCCCGTTCATTAGATGCGGCAGAGACGGTTTTTGCTTCATTCATATTCTGCCTGGCACACAGTAGGTGTTTGATGGAGGCTTTCCCCTACTATGCATTTTCTCCAAAGCACAGTCTCTCTGCCACTTTCAGGAGATCCTCCCCATTTCCTGCTCCTGACCCGAGGCCGGGCATGGGCAGGTGAGGCTTCTATGCTGGCCTGGGCCCCAGGCTTCCCCTCTCCACCTGCCCAGCCCTACAGGAAGAGAGAAGGAGCCGGCAAAGAGGGCCTCTGCCTCCTTCTCCTGGGTCAAAGGTAGTTAGGCCTACAAGGAGAAACTTTTAAGGAAATCCTCCTCCCGCTTTTCTATCCTTTAATGAATAATTTTTTTCTCCCTTTTAAGCTCCTTGATTCACAGAAAAATCTTACTGAAGGGATAACAGTAGCAACATTTATGAAGCCAACTATGCTCCAGGCCCTATGCTAAGTGCTTTAAAAATATCTTACTTGATTGGTTTGTTATTTGATTATTATGTTATTTGATCCTCATAACAAGTCTGGGAGGTAGGACCTGTTAGTATCTCCATTTTATAAATGAGGAAACTGAGGCAAACAGGGTTAAGTGATTTTTCCAGGATCACACAACTAATAAATATCTGAGGTCAAATTTGAACTCAGTACTTATGACTCTAGGTCCAGACCCCTAGTTGCCCCATAAACATAAAAATGTTAGGATAAATAGATATCACTTTCCCACCGATTGCGGTATGACTCTGAGTGACTCCGTTTTTAGTAAGGATGGGCTGGGGGTAGGAAGAGAAAATTGTTAAGACGAATGAGGGATTCTAGGGCCTAGTCCTTGATACCCTGTTTGAGCTGAAAATCCAGTCAGGCAGCATCCTTTGAGGAGGTGGGGGGGAGGGGGGAGGGTCCAGGGGTGTGGAACACAGCACATACCGTCAGATTGTTTTGCACTGTCCTCCTCGGTTTTTCAGGGTTTTTTACTTTTCCTTTTTGTTTTATGGGATGGCTCAGAGAGTGGGGGGGAGGACCCAGGGGACAATGTAGGTGATGTATAAGTTGTTGGTTTTTTTTAAGAAAGGAAATAGGCTAGGAAAGGGGAACTGAATCCCAGTGTCACTTGACTGTCACTGCATGGGACACATGAGCCAGGCAGGCATGGCGGTACCGTCACAGCCATGCAATTGTCGGTATGAGAATAAACAGCGCACTGAATGTGCGCATAGCAGAGCAGGCTTGGGTTCCTAACCAGCTTGCTGTTACAAGTCTAGCTGTGTGACTATAGCTGAGTCACTTAACCTCTCAGTTTCTGTTTCCACATCCTATATTTTAACATCATTGGTTTCCTTTGTAATCCTATGTATCTTAGGTACTTAAAAGCATTACTCTGAGGAGGGGTCCTTTGGTTTCACCAGACTGCCAGGGTGGGGGCTGGGAGTGGTCCACGACCCAGAAAAGGTTTAGAACCTTGGACCGCAGTCCGAGCTTGAGGGCTAGAAACCCTCGGATTTACCAACCTTAGTCAAGTCCCTTCATTTTTCCGGGCCTCGGTTTCCTCCCCTGCAAAATGAGGGGGTTGAACTCAATGACCTCAAGGTCCCTTCTGGCTGTAATGTAGAGACATGGCCCGGGTAACCGAGGCTTCAACGGGATTTGACTCGTGAGGAGCCCAAGAAATGGTGGGACAACATTGGAGAGAGTGTAATAGTAACATTTTAAGGGGCATGTGGACAGGGGACTGAGGCAGGACACATGGAGGGTGGCAACAGCTGGAGGAAGAAGAGGGTTAGCCTGGAGGAAATCTGAGCGTGTGTGCGCGTGTGTGCATGTGTGTGTGTGTGCGCGCACGCTCGCAAGTGTATGTGAGTGTGTAAGTTTAACTGTGAGTATGAGTGTGTGTATGTGAATGTGAGTGTGGTAGAGTGTGTGAGAAAAGGGTGTGGAAGAGTGCACAGGAGTGAATTGTGTATGTGTATGAGAATGTAAGTGTACGAGCGTGAGTGAATATGTGTGCGAGTATGTGAATGAGCGTGTGTGAGTATGAGAAGCACAGGGGTTCTCTTCATCCAGAGGCAGCCGGACGGGGTAGTGGGCAGCGCACTGGACTTAGCATTTGAATCCTGCCTCAGAGTTGTAACAGCTGGCTCACCACAGACAAGTAAGAAACCTCTCAGCCTTAGTCTGCTCATCTGTAAAATGGGGTGATAATAGCACCTACCTCAGAGGGTCATTGTGAAGATCAAATATTTGTATAGTGCTTTGCAAACCTTAAAGAGACACCTATATCTAATCTATTATGATTATATGGAAAGGGCTGAAAGGTTATATCTGGCACAAGGACCAGGGGCTAGAAATTACAGAAGGGTAGAATTACGACCAATGTAAATTAGAACTTCACAACCAGAGAGGTACAGATATGGACGAGACTACCCTGTGAGGTGGTGAGCTCCTCATCACCCCAGGTATTCAAGCAGAGGTTCTGTGACCACTTGTCAGAGTGCTATAGAAGGGACTTCATATATTGTTTTTTGTGGGGGTTGGGGCTGGAATAGATGAGCTCTGGGATCCCTTCCAACTCTGGGATTCTACAAGGTAACTCAGGGGGATTTTATTCACTTGTCTCCTTACCTGCAGCTCAGGTAATGAGAGAAAATCCTGCCATCTCTCCCCTGAAGAGTAGCTGGGGACTGGCCCTGGCAGCTCCTGGCTGCAGCTGTCCCGACTCTGACCTCCCGCTGCCCGCTCCCCACACAGCACTAACACCTCCAGGCCCTCTGAGAAAGGCCCAGTGGGCCTGGGCAGTCCTGGGTCCTGAACCTGCTGCTAGGTCTGTGACCAACCCCTCTGACCCTCAGTCTCCTCATCTTTAAAATGGAAAAAAGCCCTACCCCTCATACCTGCTTCACCAGGAGAGTGATGGGAGCTAATCGACCTCCAATGCTTTGTAAAAATCGTCCCACAAATGTCAGCTCCCAGGGATGAACGGACTTCTAGGTTTTAGAGCTGGCAGCCCATTCGCTACAGATGAGGAAACTGAGGCTCCTGGGGTGGTGATGTGCTCACAGTTACATGAGTCGTAGGGCCAGGGTTTGAACTTGGGTCGTGGGGTCACAGAGATGGGGCTGGAAGGGCCCATTGAGTGTGACCTTCTCATTTGATAGAGAAGGAAACCGAGGCGATTTGCCCAGGGTCACAAAGGTCTTAAGTGACAGACCTGGGTAGGGCACCTCCTCCCCCCACAGCCCTGCCCACTACCCTTGGGAGCTTGGCAAGGCTAGCATGGTCAAGGCTGACCCATGCCCTTAAACCTCAACAGCCAAGTGGCCCCCATTTACCTCCAGGGAACTCTCCATTGGAGGCGCCATCAAATGGAAGATGTCTTCCAGAGACCAGGCTGTGTCCATCTCGTCCCCATTGCTCTGTAAAAGATACAAGAAGAGGGACGGTTTTTCAAGGCCACTGGTTCAACAGAGCTGCCTTGAATGGAGGAAGGGCCCAGGAATCCCGTGTGCTGGCTCCCGCGGCGCTGGGGCAGCCAGGGAGGGCCAGCTAACCCCCCCCCCCCCCCCCGCTTCCCTTCCCTTCCAGCCCAGGCCCTCTGCTGGAAAGATGCCCTTCTTGTAGGTTCCTCATGTTTCAGGTCATGGGAGAAAACCTGCCGTCTTCCTTCTGACTCTTAGATGTCAGCCGAGGCAGGAGCTCTTAAGATGGGTCCGTGAGCATTTTGATAGGATTCCATTATAACTGGCTCCCTTTATCATACCTTGTATTTCATTTTATGTACGATAAGAAAGAGTCTGTGTGAAGAAACTGAGTCCTAAGCGACTTGGCCTTCATTTGCAGATTACACATCTTAGACATCCTTATCGATATGACTACTCTCTCCCCTACTAGAACATAAGCCCCTAGAGGGCAGGGCATTTTGTCTTTCTTAGGACCCCCAGTCCTCAGCCCAGGGTGCTTAAGGACTCACGTGGATCCACTGTTTGCCAAGGTCACACAGGATTTAAACCTTGGCCTTCTTATTCTAAATTCAGAAATCTTTCCAGTGCCCTATACACAGCTCTTCCCCCAAAAGAGATCTTCCCACAATGCATAAAGCCTCACGTCTCTGCTCCTCCAGCTTTGGGCCTGTGTGATGCAGGGATAGGGATCGAACCTGCACTGTCTGTACCACCAAAGACCAGCCCCTTCTCAGGAACGAACCAGCATCTGAAGCATGCTCATGGCACGGTCATTCCCTGGCGCTATTTTAATGGCGCATCAAAGCCCACTGGAAGCATTCAGAGAACTCGGTGTCCTCCAAGGAATAAAGGATGCCTTAGGCCAGGCCAGTGGACGAGGGTGAGCTCTTCTGAAGAGGCCAAGTCTCCACACCGTGTGGCCATTTCTACAGTGGGTGAGAGATCTGTGTTCACAGTAAAAACATGGGATTGCTCTATAAACAAGAGGCAGTCTCCCTTGCCCGCTGACCCTGAATCTGCCAGTGATCAGTTAGGCAATGAGGGCACTCGGTCTCTTGTGCCTCAGTTTCCTCATCTGTAAAATGGGGATAATAGCAGCACCTATTGCCCAGGGTTATTGTTAGGGTCAAATGAGATAATAAATGTAAGGTACTTTGCCAACCTTAATGATATAAATGCTATTATTATAATACTATATAACACATAATTATTACATACAATTACATATTTATTATATTTCTATGTTGTATTTGTTATAATTGTATGTAATAATATATAATGCAATTACATTACTACTATGTTACAAAAGTGTATCAATAATAACAATAGTAACTAACATTTATATAGAGCTTACTAGGTGTCTGGCGCTGTGCTAAGTGCTTTGTAATATTAGCTCATTTGATCCTCACAACAACCCTAGGAAGGAGGTGCTATTATGATCTCCATTTTACAGACATAGGAAACTGAGGCAGTGAGTTCAGTGACAGAGCCAAGGTTATAATTATATTGTGAGATAATAATAATATTAAGACAATAATAAGAAAACAGTAGAGCCAGAATTTGAACCCAAGTCCTCCAATACCAGCTCCAGCATCCTTCCTGCTCTCTCCTATTCAGTTCTGGAGGCACCTTTTAGGAAGGACATTGAAAAGGTGCTAAGTGTTCAGAGCAGGGCTACCTAAAAAAACAATTAAGTAATTAATAATTAAATTACTGAAAATGAACTTTAAAATAATTAAAAAATATTTAAATGACCTAAAATAATTTCCAAAAATAATTAGATAACTAATGATTAAAGTGAGAAGACAGAAGGGAGAGGCTGTGGGCCTGCAGGAAAGCCAAGGCGGGTGGACATGAAGCTCTTTAAATGTTTGGTGAGCAGCCAGGTGAGGCGCTGGCCTCGCTCTGTTTGGTTCCAAAGGGCAAGACTCTGATGACCCAGGATTCCTGGGGAAGGAGGGCAGGGCAGCCAAGCTGTCCTGGTTGGCACCCGGGGCACCATCAGGCTCCCCGGTGTGTTTGCCATGGGGTGAGGAATGGGGCCGGGGAGAAGAGAATGGAGCCTGGGGATGGAAGAACAGGATGAGTGTACAGAGCCAGGAAGGCCGGACAAAGACCCTGGGAGCTGGATCAAGCTGGATGGGAGGGCGTGGGGGGAGGGGAGGAAAAGGAATCCAAACTGGCTGGTTTGGAGAGGTCCAGAGAGGAGGCAGCAGGGAAGTGTGGGTTGGGGTGGCGCTGAGGAAGGTTCCTGTCTGAAGGTTGAAGTCTTTCTTCAGTGGACTGAGGAAGGCTGACTGTTCATTCATTTGTCCCATATATCCTAACTGAGTGCCTATTCCTACTAGCACTGGGAGAGGAGAATCAATCAACATTTATTAAGCAGGTACTAAGTGGAAGGCACTGTGCTAAGCCCTGGGATACAAAAAGCGGCAAAAGACAGACCCTGCTTTCAAGTCTAATGCCAAAGTGGGGGATGGAGACAAAGCAGTAGAAGGCCTGAGCCTTGCCCTCAGGAAGCTTACAGTCTAATGGAGAGGTGAGGGATGGAGACAAAGCATCAGAAGGCACGAGCCCTGCCCTCAGAGATCCGATAGCAGTTGGAGAGGAAAGAGAAACTCACTAGAGAAGGTAAACAAAGAAACCTAAGCAGCATTTAACTTAACCCAGGAAAGGTGCAAACGACATTCCTGTGAAGTGTATTCTCTCCTTTTTTGTAAAGTTTGAGAGAGCCTGGCCTGGCCCCCAAAGGCCATCGCTTCCACTGCTCCCTGTCCCACGGACCTTAAGAAGTTTTTAGGTGTTATGTGGACAATATTTTCTTAACTGAATTACAATCAATAAGTATCATGAGATCTTTCGTCAAAGCCAAGTAGGGCTGAAAATGAGTGGGGTCAGGAAGCAGGGACAAGTGGTGCATGGATGGGGCAGGCTGTGCATGCTACTGGCTTCCAGAGAGTATTAAAACTCCTGGGGTCACATGACAAAAATGGCTGGGAAAACCCAACAGCTGTCTGTCAGAAACGAGGTTTAGGCCAGGGGAGTCCTTCACCATTTTTGTATCATGGGCCCCTCTGGCAGTGGTCTGGTGAAGCCTATGGACCCCTTCTCAGATTCAGGTTCTTAAATGCAAAAAATAAACTACAGAGGATTAAAAAGGAAGCCGATTATAGTGAAATAAAGATGTAATTTTTTTCCCCATCTAAGTTCATAGATTTCCCAAATCTATCCAAGGATCTCCTAGGGGTCCATGGATCCCAGGTTAAGAACCCCTGGTTTAGACGAGCATCTCATACCATCGACAGTTACCCCTTCCACATCATGACTTTCACCATCACGGTTTCAATATATTGTCAGTCGGCATAAGAAATTCAATGGGAATTTTGGGAGAGTTTTGCGGAAGCTCCAGATTACACATGAAGACCAGCAGACGGCACAGAAAAAGTTTACAAACTCAGAAATGCATAAAATACAAGTACAGTCTTATATAATACCAACATATTTTATCTTTTAATACTGTGAAGACCCCATAAAAGAAAAAAAACATTCAGATTTCTTCTCTGACACAGAGGGAGGGTCAAAAGACTTTACTCAGATTTTCCAGATCACAGGGGTGCTGCACCCCGAACCCCCACGATGTGGAAGGGATAACCATATTACAATAAGCTCCAAATGGATATTCACCCTGAATATAGAAAGTCACATTATTATTATTATTGTTGTTGTTGTTATTGTTATTATTTTAAATAGAGCAGCAAAGTAGGAGATGCTTTTCACAACGATGGGTAAGGGAGAGTTCACTACCAAGGAAGATCACAGAAGATGCAGCTGACGGTGTTAATTACTTACTTAAAGAGCTTCTGCACAAACAAAATCAATGCAGTTAAAATTAGAAGAAGGACAGTGGACTAGGAAGCATTTTGCAGCATAATTGCAACAATTATCTCTAATAAGGGTCTGACATCTAAAATATGTAAGGAGTATATAAGAACAAGAGCCATTCCCCAATGGATAAATGGTCAAAGAATACGAACAGGCAGCTCTTCAAAAAAAGAAATACAAGCTCTTAACAGCTGTATGAAAAAAGTGCCCCAATGACTAATAATAAATGGAACCACAAACTGAAATAACTCTTGAGGTTCTGCTGCCCACAGCTCAGCAGACACAATGAAAAGGGAAACTGCTGGGGGAACGGAGGAAGGAGCTTGTTGGGAAAGCTGTGAATGGGGTCTGCCATTCTGGAAAACGATTTGGAATTCTGTCCCCAAAGTCACAAAACTGAACTCTCCTTGATGGGCATGGCTGGGCTCATACCTCTGAGAGATGAAATGAAGGGGGAAAGGAAGCACGGGAGCGAAGGCAGGTGCCATTACCTGGGAGGTGTTTGGACAAATGACAGTCTATGAACGTAACAGAATATTATTGTGCCATAAGGCATGATGAATTGGATGGATTCAGAGAAACCTGGGAAAACTCATCTGGATGCAGAGGGACATGAGAATAACCAGGGAAGCAGTTTGTACAATAACTATAACACGATAAATATACTATAACTATACATTGTTTAGTAACTATACACAGTATATAACTATACAGTAACTACACATAGCAAAAGTAAACAAAAACCTCAAAGAGCATATAAATGCTGGCTACTGTTATCATTGAAAATGATTTCGAAGGACTTAAGAACTCTCGTCAACATATTGCCACATCACTACAGAGGACCAATGATAAAGCATGGAGCTGGGCTGGGGTTGAGGGGCTGGTCAGCCCCACAGAGAGATGGCGGACTCAGAGATCAGACAGAGACACTTTTGAACACAGCTAATGAATGGATTTGTTTTACTTGACTCTGGGCATTAATTACAGGGAAGAGGGCTTGTTTGTTTTTTAAGTTGTGTAAGCGGGGAAGAAAAGTGGGCCTCTGTATCAAATTTTTAAAAAATGTATAGAAT